CGGACGGTACGTCTGATTAGTAATAGAGCGCACTTCAAAGACACTGCATGGAGCGGGAAAAAAAATGCGTACATCAATCCGAAATGAACCAGTGGATCCGTCAGCTCTGCCTTGCCGATATCTTTAACATCCAGGATGTTGTAGTCGGACAACGTGACTTCCACTGATAGTCCGCAGCAAGAGTAAGAGAGGAAGGCAGCCATCGCAGCTCAACTGAATGGTTCTACGGCTAGGTGGAAGGAAGTTATTGCAAACCCCAGAATGGCAGTCGAAAACAGATTCACGAACTAAAAATGAGAATGACAGTACAGGCTGCAGGTGGTTATCATGTTCCGTTGAGCACGGTGTCATTGGACCACGTGTCATCGTGATTGGAAAGAGACATCGAGTGCGGGTTGCTCTACATTCTGTACAAATAGACACGCGCCGCGACGCTTACTGGAAATGTTTACGAGGTTGGTGCATGGCATTCAAGAGTTACTGCGTTACTGCGTACAACATACAATGGGGCCTGAAGCGCTTTCAAGCAGTGTGATTGCTTGTCGACATCATCGTTTGAGCTGGACGCGTTATAGTGACTCGATCGGGTGTAAACAATTATGCCTAATTGGCGAACCGTATGGACGACACGCATTCAAAAGGCCATAAAACATGCTCATTGCGCTCCACCAACGTGTGTTGGGGGTTCATCAACTAGTGTTAATGCTCCGTAACCCTTGGATGATAACTCTGCAGCGGCCTGGGAACACATGCACCACTGCCCGGCCAGTTTGGCGGCAAGCCTAACACTATCCTCCCCGAGTTCCGTTCTTGGGAAGGTTGACATCACCGACCCAACTATGGCATTCACACACTCCCGAATCGTCATGGCTTCCTTGTGATGCTGGATAGAGACTACGACGAAGCATGCAGCAGCCGCGAACAACGGGGAACTAGAACTTTCATTGGTCGCTGAAGCTGCGTCGTTCACCTCTGCCAGAACATCGCTCTCAGACAACCCTCTGCTAGACGCCTATAATGTCGCCAGAGTTGCAGCAAATGCTGCTCTGAAATCGAACTTGGACAGGTTGGAAAGTGCTCTCTGTCGACATCTTCGAAATTCAGGGATGTAGCGATTGCCGCTCCCGCGCATACAGCAACCTCTGCTCTCACGTTGCCCTGAAGCTTTTCCGTGGCTTCTCTGAATCGTAGAAAACTGCATCGATCAAACATTACGATTAGCACATTCATTGTGGAGCAAGAACCACACGATTAGCAAGTCAACTTACTTCTCGTAACGGCACAATCCATTCTCGTTGGCGACACTCCACAGACCCGTTGGCCATGTACGTACAAAATGGAGCAACCCCACCCACTCGCGCTCATCCTCTCCAAGTTCTCTCGTGGGGTCGTACACGCATTTGCACACTGCCTCCGCGAATCTCCGTGCATCCACTGCGTTGAAATGACCCAGGAATCTTTGCCTCCCTCCAACATTCGCCACAGGTGCAAGATCTCTGTAACTAACTAACGTCCTGTGGTAGGGCCGACGAACTCGCGGCGTCGGGCAATCAGGCTCCCAGCCTGGAGGGAACTCAAATCGCACATGTCGCCGCTTCAAAGATCGCTTATCGAGACCTTCCATCAGCCCTTGCTTTCGAACCAGAATCCCACCGCCTGATCCAGGTCTAAACACCCCACCGTCGTTTGCACGCAAAGCTGTCGCTGTCCCACTCGGAGTACGGTCGTTATCAGAATCCAGGTGTGGTCCGAATCTCCTAACAGACATCGTTCCTGCCTGGGCGTCTGCAGACTTGACAACTGCTTCGATTTTTTTCGAAGAAACCCACGAGTACCTCCACGTTTTTACCATCTTTAACCGCCCTCTGAACGCACTCGACTGTATAGCCGACGTTGGCGGTCATTGCTTCTTCCACAGCCTTCGCCAAATCCGTCTCGAGTCGTTTGCGATCATGTTTCGTGGCAGCAAGGGACAGTTGAAGAGACTTCTCCGTGTTGGCCGAGATATTTTGCAAGAAGTTTTTGACTTCATCCAATCGCGCAACCAGGTCCACAGCCGACTGCGTTGCCACTCGCCCCCGCTCAAGCTGTTCTAATCTAGAAACCCGGGCAAGAATCTCAGCTATCATGCTGTTAATACCGTGCGCAGCGTCAGCATTCTGGTCTGGGTGACTACGTTCTTGGTGCGCATCAGCCTCCGCATGTTCCGATGCGCCATTCCCATCGACCGCTCGTACTGCCGTTCGCCGAGAATCCTCTTCCGGGATATGCGCATCACTAGCGCCTGCAACATGGCTTACATCGGAGGCCTGTCGATGTTCGGGTTGTCTGGGCGTTTTACTCTCAGTATCTTCCTCGCTGTCTTCGTCACTGGTCTCGTCATCGGAACTGGCCTCAGTGCTGCTGCTGTTGCTTCCATGGGGAGAATTGTCGCCGGCACCACTACCTCTATCTACAGCATGTATCTCGGCGACAAACTTCGGATACTTGTTCTTTATGAGGTCTACCAAAACAGTTCTCATATCCGGATTAGACGTGACCTGGCACACGTTCTCAAGTGGCTCGTTCCGGCGTTGCTGAATCACAGCCCCCCAGTTCCCGAAAAGCTTGTAGATCAAATCGATTATACGGACCCCTGGTCCGCCTCCAGTATCTGTTGTCAATGGACGACTCTGTACAAACAATGGTGTTTGGTTAGCAGTAAGCAGGTGATGGACGCAAACTGTGATGGAACAGCGATCTATTTCTCACCCAGTGTTCGATTTTAACGCGGCGTAGTTTTTCGTGAAACGGTTTACGTAGACGCGAATACTTGGATGTGTTGTCCTTCACCAGCTCTTCATACTCGTAGGACAACTCTCGACACATCCATCTGGGCGTAACATCGACTGTTTAGATTACGGATGCCTGGTAATGAACTTCCGAAAGCAACATACGTATCGGAACGCATTTGTAGCGAAATTAGTCTCCGCATCGTCACGACGTTCATTGAAGTAGATGAAACGTGTGTCACAATCCGCGACATCACTTTCTAACAACAGGTCCCCGGGACGTAGAACCATCAAAAGGCTCCAGTTCCAATCCGCGGTAACCTGCGATCTGCAAACGTGACAATCGTTAGGTGGATTCGTATTTGGGTGGCACAAATCACTAGCGAACCAAACCCACTTTGTGTGCACCGGTATAATGACACACTGCCGCGAGAGCACTCCGAAGGTCGTTTCAGATTGTGTTGACATCTGGTTCCGTAGCCAGTCCGACGAGAACAGAATCATGTTTCCGTATTGTTCGCTCGAAAGCATGTCATGGGCGAAGTGCCTGCAAATGAGTCAAAGACATCAGTCACCCGTAAGGTGGGTAATCAACGTCAGTGAACGGCACGCTTACATTATCCCGAATTTCATCATCGGCGCAGTGATATCTTTCCCGACGAGGAGTGAGGAGTAGTCGTGTTCAGTTAACGACACTGTAACACCTCCCGTCGATGAAGTGTCCGAACTATTCACCATGGTTTCAGCACGCTAGTTCGACGATACAGTTTGTGAAGCGTTGAGAGGGACGAAAAAGCCGTACAGGAATGACGGAAACAACATTAACATACGTTCCCACCCAGCTTGCTGTCCACTTGCGTCCGCACCAGGGGCGAGTTTCGAGGTGTATGCCCCACCCATTGTTGCGATGAGAGTTCGCACATAACAGTTCGCTCGTGTAAACAATGTTGCTGGTGTGAACACGTAACATCGGCTGATGGGATGCTAATTGGCATTGAGAGTCAATTCAATCTTACGGTGAAACACCGTACCTGGAAAACCTGGTCGAGGACGTACGTTGTAAGCTTCGGTAGAGGACAAATGACGCTGAGTTCAAATGCCCATCTCCCCAAACTTCTCTCTCCAACCACAAATTGAAGCACAATTACCGCAAACTGACTTTCCATGGTCCATGGTGCGCTAGGTTCCCGCCAAAAAGACCCTAGGCGCGCATGCGCTCCAACACGTGGCACTGCGACCAGTTTACACCTAGCATATAAGGCCAATGATGATTGGCTGACGTTCTGGCACCTGATACGAGTGCCAGAACAGTGCACTGGGATAGAAATTCTGCTGCACACATCAGACTTCGTTATACGCGACAAGACGATACAACGCGCACAAAAGGGACGGGTATACCGAACACAAAACCCAGATCTTCTAACAAACGTGTGAGACATATAAAAAGCAGGATCCGTGTTTTCATTATTGTAATGCACACTACCGTTCAACTCAAAGTACAATTTATCTGGTTCATGGAGAATGCGCTGGAAGTCGTGGGAGGGGGAGCACACGTCAATTTATCGAGGGAGGAGTACGCGCGCATGCGGTCTAGAGATTCAGAGTGGAGCCAAAACATGCTGAACTGGGCGATACTGTGAGTGTTACGATATACTTCCATTGATCATCTTCACTGTGATCTGACTCTCTCTCTACTTGCCACAGAGAGCTTGCACGGTCCAACTTGCCATCGGCCGTCGCGGAAGGGTTTATCATGCTGACAACCAAGATGATCGAGGACGCGAGGGTCCACACCCCTTTGCAACCAATGTGGCTCAATCGAGACTCAGGACCACTTAGCAAGCAGGTCGTCGTCGTGCCACTGTGGTCCAAGTAAGTATCCGCTAATTCACTCGAGCCCCGTCACATATGCAAACGACTTATGCGTGGCGTGTCATCGACAGAATTCGCGATGATCCGGGTGTACGCATCAGCCTTCTCCTACTACTGCGCCCCGATGACCTAACGGCGGATGGCTCATCCGAATATCACGTCAGGGTGGTGCACTTCGACCCCAAAAGCGCCGTACCCTCTCATCGGCATACTGTTGTGGCCAGAGAAGTAACGGAGTAAGTTTTGCGATTTTTTTTTCTGCGACCGTTCGTTCGATAGTGCACCTCTGATTTGGTAACATCAACCCCTGAAGGTGGCTCAAAGAGCAGCTATTGGTGGAGTATCGCGGCAATGACCATGAACTGCGCAACTGTACATCGGGTGCTACTGAGGAACATATGCGCGAACGTTTAGCGAACCTGACGATGGAGCGAGGACAGGTTAGTCTTCTCCGGCACGTTTCGTTGTCTGCCGTGGTTGTGCTTACTAGTCTTACCGACCTTACGGTACTTGTCCCCACTGCAGTTGACCCAAACATTGGGGAGAAGGGAGGTTGGTTCAGGACTCCAGATTGCACATCTCTGGGGCAAGCTCATCGACTGTTGGGATGCCCTGTGTCAACTCCCGAGCGACCAACCTTTCCTGAAAATGGGGCGGGGCAATTGTACTAAAGAGGAGGTTTTGCAGAAACTGCTAGACAGATGCAGTAAACACTTCGACCCGTCAGGCGAAGAGGGGAGTGAGCAACGTCATCCGGCGCCGCCTGCAGGGGATGGAGTGGTTACGCAATTTGATGCGAACTTGGGTGAGCGAGCGGAGGACGGTGTTCCTTCCCGTTTGATTACGTACATGAGTAGCAGGAATAGATCCGGAGACCGACAACTGACTGTCGCTGAGGCTTTCAGGAAGCGTCGTGAAGACGCAGCTGATCGTTTGCGCGTTCAGACAGATACACTTCAGCCTCTGACTGAGGGGGTCAGTAACGATGGGGAAAGATGCGACCAGCCTGAGTCCGCGGACACTCCAAACGACAGCGTTGTGGCTGCGGACTCTACTCACCAGCAATTGGACGAATTCTTGGACCGCATTTCGCGAGACGGAGAGCGACGCATATCACCATCCGCGACAGACGTGACTGAGGGAATGCGTCTGACCGAAGCTTTTGATGGACCTCCAACTGAAATGAATGCAAATGCAGCGGCACCGGCGTTGTGTCCGACAGTCGATCCTGGGACAAGTACTAAAATGACGGACGAGCTCCATATTGCTGCAGAGGTGCTGCCAAACGCTGTGGCGGAGGGTGAGGTCGGAGAGTGCGGCAACGTCAACGGTGCGGCCGTTCAGGATTTACCTGCATCCACGGCAGACACACACGCATGTGGTGCTGTGGAATGTGATCAACCATGCGAATTGGGAGCCAACAGTCGTAGTGAGATGGCTGCAACCACATCACACGATGCCTGCGCCACCGCTTCTGGAGATGTGCAAATGGTGGATGAGGCAATTCATCACGGGTTCGAGAACGGGCAAGATGGGGGGCCATCTCTAGACGAAGATCGCGATGGTGGCGTCGCGCCGCAGACTAAAGTAGAGTTCCCCAAAGACAGGCCAACAACAGCCGACCGAGCGCCATCGGCAGGATTCGAAGAGTTGCTTCAGGAGCAGTTGCTGAACCCAACAGAAACAGGGATTGAGGACCTCCGGACGTTCATACGGAACATTGCATCGGTCGAACAAGGGATTGCGGATCGCATTCAGGCAGCGGTGATGGTTGGCCCCGATATTCAGGGGAAGGATGGGAGTGCCGGTGGTGGGGCAGGTGCGATGGAACGGAACCTCGAAGAAACGGCCGGTGTGTCGTCCGTTTTCCACTCTACATCTGACGAGACAGCGCCATCCACGTCTGGAACACCTTCAACATCCGGCGAAGATGAACCCCACGTAGTTCGGGATGAGCCTATCGTTGAATTTCGCGATGCAGCAGAGCAGTTGCATGAAGCGCTGGGTGGGCCTGCCGTCTACGTAGAGACGGAAACAGGGTTTGCTGAGGTTGGGCAAGGCAGAACAGGGGTCACGGGTGGCGTATCGGATGAATTACTTCTACGGATGGCGGGCGTAATGCGTAGTCTTGCAGCCGCCGCTGCGGAGCAGAATGGCAGATACAGCTCCCACATGCGTGAGTTGGGGCGGTTAATTGACAGTCTCGACCGCCGCATCCACAGACAGCAAAACCTACTAGGGGACCGATACAGAGATTTGTGTGCACAACTAGGCAAGGAACGCCAGACGATGGTGGATTTGCGGGACGAGATGAAGGAGAACTTCAACGTGACGAAGAGGGTGTTGGCGGACGCTGCGACAAGTGCGTTTGGAAACCAGTATGACCTTGAGCTCCGTTCAATGAAGGACACTGTCATGGAATCCGTAGATAAGGCGCTGGCTAGGGCGGCGCTGGAGGCACGTCTGAAGGTGGTTCTACCAAGCGATTACATGGAGTCCATGCGGAGGCAGGTGCAGGGGGGGGTGGCCGAAACACTCGCGCAGGTTCAAATGACATGCGACGGGAATGCGGAAATTTCGGGGAGACTGGAGGCCATCTGCGCCGCTGTCGACGCAAAGTTATCTGCAGAGCAGGTTTCACAGCTAGAGATGCTGGGAGATGTGGGGTCCACTCTGGAACAGGTCAGGATGGCAAGTACTATGAATGCTCAGATTCTTGAGAGCGTCAAGGAGAAACTGTGCGAGGCCGCACAGGAATGCGGCCGACAGATGCACGCTGATCTTGTCGACAGACTGGCAGAGGTGCGGACAGTTGCTGACCGGAACGAAGAGCGTTTAGTTAAGCTGGAGGAGGAAATCTTCGCCGCAGTGATGGAGAAACGTGCGGACGCGGAAAAAAAGTCAGAGGCAGATGCATGCTGCGCTTGGCGAGAAAGTGGCGGAACTGCATGTGGCTACTACCGCAAACGCGGAGTTTATTGTTAAGCTGAAGGGGGAAATTTTCGCCGCTGTGGTGGAACAACTCACGGGGGAGCGCGAATCTCAGAGGAAGGTTCACGGGGTAATAAAGGAGGATATATGCGCGGCAGTCCGTGAAACGCTAATCAATGGAAGACCAGCATTATGTCAAGAGGGGCTTGCATCAGTCACTGCCAGGGGAAGGCGTGTGCACGATGTGGAAGCCAGCGCGTCCGTCGACGGAATCAGCATACAGCATAATCAGACCTCGCCCGACAATGCAATGTCATGCGCAGACAGTGGTTCCGCATCCAACGACGAGGCCACGAGGGAACGCCGTGGTGAGCGATCAGGATCAAATGGGGGAGTTGTTTTTCCGCATCGGTCATGTGGGATGCCGCCTAGGATGACAACGGCGACACGAGTGGAAAGCCTGCCGGCGGCGATTCCCGGCGGAATGGATGCAGAGGTTCCCCTGGGCGGTACCAAACGTGCAGCGAGTAGAGCGGCTGGAGCGGGTACTTCGCCTCCGGCGGCAAACGTGCGAGGCGGTACTGCAGCAGATTCCAAAAGGCAGCGACTGGAGGTGGAGAGACCGTCGAAACCTACCTCAAAAGAGGCTGCGGCTGGTGACTCTAAAGGTGGACACAATGGTGAGGGCCACGTGGGAGGCCGGATGACCTACGGCTCAGTCTGGTGTTTTCTGAACGAGCCTTTTGCGTACATTCAAGAAACAAATGTGCATGAGCATCTGTCACCACAAGCGACCGTATCCCGGGGTCTGATCGACGACTTGGCGTCCGCACGTGGCTGTGCTGATGCGGTCGGAGAGACGGACATCGAAGGATTGCGTGAGACGGGGCCCCAAGAAGCCGAGGATTTGATGCCCGTTCAAGCCGACGAGTATGGAAAGCAGTGGGGTATTGTAAGGCCGTTCAGGTCGAGTGGTTTTGGCGTGCGTCACAAAGGTACAGCGCAACAGCGCTTCTGCTCGGAGCAAACAGTGGGTGGTCGGAAACGCACTATGGGCTGTCACAAAGATGAGTCTCTCAGAAACTTCACCGTCGCAGTGTGCTGGATGGCTTACTTCCCCGACACGGACTTGTTGCATTACAAGATGTCCGAAAACGACGTTAAGAGTTGGGCGAACGAACTCGAATTCGCGCGAAAGGTGCCGACAGGAGTGTGGAGCGTGATGAACGAACTGAACCTCGACCGGCTCGAAAAGTAAGAACCAGTCCACCTGTCTGTTTTTCTGCTTTTCGGCATATACAATTTTTGTAACAGCATTTCATTTTATGAATACATTGCAGTTTCCGTAATGTTGTGCGGAGGACTACCGAGCGATTGGTCAAGGGCTTAGAATGGGAGGTGGCCCTCTGCTCAGGCGTCGGTCGAGCGGTTATTCTTGGACGGTGTGATGTGGCTTGCACCCAGTGGGGTACCTCCCCTCGTCTTTGCAGCAGGAATCTCGGCCACACTCTTCGCACTCCTGGCTGCTTCGACAGGTGTCCCTGTTGACCTAGGGATAGAAGACGGGGCTCTCGAAACTGCTCGCGCCACAATCGATGACGAGGCGATTGCCCAGCGTGCTGCCACGGCTGCGACTCGTGGTGTGTCTGCGCTGCTCGAGGTTGCTGCCGAAGCTCACGATAAAAACGATTGGGAACATGTCATGTCATCAAAGATTTTCCGCCATTTCGGCGAGTGCAGCGACGAGGACACCCAGAGCATATGTAGGGTAGTTGCTAGAGTAATAGTGTTCTGGTGTGGATGCAACGTGTCTGCAGCAGGTCTCGCAGAATTTGTGGGTGCGACCCTGCGCATCATTCCGTCTAAACGAGGCAACAGAGCTAGGAACATATGACACGCGTAGATATGTGTGATAAGAACGTGTACTATAATTTTGCAACCAATTGTTGTTGAAATGCCGCAGCGATTGGTGTATTCTGACCGACTAATACCACGCCTAGCGAAAAGTTGTATGGGCATGCACCTTGGTACCATTGACCATACGAACAATTTTGCCATGTGGCGTACTCGAACGTGAATGCGGAATGCAACGTGATCGGTGGATTGTTTACGATGGGAACGATGGTTACGTTAGCTGACTCGGCACTGGCCACATCGTACACCGATTCAAAGCCACACCCTTGTGAAGCAACGGAACACACCCTTCATGAGCCCGAAGGAAGATCGAACCCACTCTTATTAAGCACACCCCGGTCATTGTGAATCTGTTCACATTATTTGCAACGTGAAGTTCCCTACATCGAGCTTGTTTGCTTAAGTGGCGAAGACCGATGGCGGATTATCGACAAGTTAGTTGTGGAGTTGAGGTTATCGTGAGCAAGCAGCATTACGAAGTTCTCTGCAAGCGAACTGTCGAGTGGCCCAATCGACTACTCGACTATGCTATACTGTGAGTGTCGAGATGTCTAATCGATGGTTTCCTATCGGACAATGGCGCATACTGACTGGTGCTTCATGCAGGAGGTAAGCGAGGACAATCCTCAACACACAGCAGATGGAGAAGCTACACATCATTTCTTCGCTTGTTGTGTCGAAAGCATGCAGGAAGAAGCCTCCTGCACCTATGGGCATCTCTACGGAGCGTGGTTTGTTGTCCAAAGAAGTGATAATCGTACCTCTGTTTGAAGGGTGAGTCACGCAGGTCAGTTGTAATTGGTTGTCATCTACCTAAGTGTTTTATCGTTGTCTGCATGCGCAAGCCTCCTCATGATTCTGAGGCCGGACGATTTAATACTAAAGCCTCGGGGACATCAACGCACTCGCGCTTTTCATTTCGATCCCAAAGGCTCCATCCCATCACACAGCCAACTGGACCTAGCTGCCAAGGTGTTCAAGTAAGTATTGATGAGTATTCATGTCGGCCTATGTTATGTTGCTAAGTTGTGTTACGTTTCGCAGGTGGCTTAAGAGGCAATTTGAGGTCGAATACACAGCCGACATCACTCAGCTGACTCGTCAGGACGAAGTTGTGCTCGGCGATTTGAAGAAATCTCTCTCTGAGTTACGTCTCGAAGAAAAGGTAAACCGATCCCGTACTAGATGGCCTTCATTTTGTAAGGTATTGAAAATTTTACGTATCTGTTTGCAGACGCCGAAGGATTGTGTGGGGAATACTGTCGCTGGATCGTGTCTTCATGTGATCTACGAGTGGACCAAGATTCTCGACAAATGGGCATACATCGTCGACTGTCCCCCGAACACGAAGATACAGTTTGGTGTTGGGAGGCTCGGCAAAGTAGAAATCCAAGAGGAGCTGGAGATGGCCTTGCGTTCCGATTTGGGCGACAGGGTGGTCGAGAATGTTTACGCAACATCTGCAATAGCCGCAGGCACAAACAGCAAGGTTGGATTACCAAACCAAGTAGTTGGAGCCATGAAAGATCCCCTGGATCAATCGAAGGGTTTCGAGCCTCAGAGTCGGGTGGAGGCGATCAACCAACCAGGCTCGAGGGCAGGTGATGGGACGGCTAGGGTGGGTGTGGCCCCGGAGCCCAACGCGATGATGATCGAGATCGGGAAAATGGTGGATGCTGCAGTGGCTGCAGCTGTGGCCAATGCCGTCAACGAGGGGCGTTTCCACGTTCAGCTTCTGGGCGACGTTCATGAAAGTTTGGAGAAAGCTATCAAGAAGGGCATGGACTCCGCTGCTGCGTTGCTCCGTGTTGAGATTTCCTCAGGTTTCGAAGTTCTCAAGAGGGAGCTTTTGAAGGTTATAGATTCTAAGTTGAATGCTACAGTCGAGCCCGCCCAAGCTACGGCACGTGAGAAGGCTCCGCCTCCGCCTAACGCACATGCTCCGTCTGGACACGAGAGGCAGACCAAACCACATGACGCGTCACCAGAATTATCCATGGGAGCGGCAGAGGAAGTAATGACCGTCTGGGAGTTTGCAGATAGCGATGGTGAAGTTGGAACTGCGGTTTCCGACGACTCAGAGGGAGCGGCACCAATCCTGCCAGAGTCGGAAATGGACGGAAAACGGCGACCGCGCCCTTCGACCTTCACCATAACACCACAGGCCGCCAAGATTCCGCGTGCAGCTGGGGACACCAATAAGCAAGGGGGTGGTATGCTGACGTTTGATGGAATAATGCGCTACCTCGCAGATAAGATGCCAGGCTGGAACGAGGAAGACGATGAGAACCCAATCGGAGCTCTACAGAAAGTGATGGAGACGCAGCAGAATCCAGAGCTGCCAGAAATTTCCGAGGAGAAGGATGGTCGGCAGGTTGAGGTCCAGGACCATTCAAAGATCGTGCCGGACCAGCTGGGCAAGAAGTTTGGGGTTAATAGACCCTTCAGATCGAGCGGCTTTTTTGTCAGGCAGAAAGATTCTCCGCAGCCGAAATTCTTCTCGGAGCAAACCGTTGGTGGGCGGAAGAGACACATGGGTTGTTATACGGAAAAGTGGCGCAGGAATTTTACGATTGCAGTCTGCTGGAGTGTATTTTTCCCGGATGTTGACCTCGCATGCTACGGAATGGATTTGACGGACATCCAGAAGTGGAAAGCAGAGCTTGATTTCGCGAAAAGAATCCCAACAGGCGTATGGAGCGTGATGAACGAGCTCACGCTCGACCGCTTCGACAAGTAAGTAACATACGCTGTAATTTCAGCTCACATTGTCACATCGAGTTGACTACGTTGTCTACGATTTTTGCAGTTTCGGGAACGTCATGTCGTTTACGAAAGAAAGGGTCAGCAAGGAGGTTCAGTGGGAAACTGCGCTAACCTCCGGAATAGCGTTTGCGGCAACAATGCAAGGGAGTGGCGCTGTTCCCAACCGTGTCAACCCTTTGATCTTTGGTGCGGGGTTGGCCGCGTCCCTCAGCGTGTTGTGACTTGGTTCGTTGGGACATCCCCAAGACAAATTGCTAGAGGTAGCTCTGAACGCTGCAAAAGCCTCTGTCAACGACAGTGAAGTGGCTACCAAAGCCGCTGAAGCAGCATCGTGCATCCCAGCTGCAGTGATTAGTTTTGAAAACGAGGTTCACGACAAGCATCAATGGATTTCGCTCCTGGCAGAGAAGATTCAAAGTCTTTTAAAAGACAGCCAGCACGATACAGCATTGACGCTGTCGAGAGTGGCGTCGCGCGTGGTGGTTTACTGGTGTCAGTGCTCGGTCGCTACGGCTGGTCTGAGAGATAACCTGAAACTATTCCTGAACATCCTTCCATCAAAGCGTGGATCGAAAAACAAGGTGCTGGGTGCACACGGCAAGTCGAAGACAAAGGAGTAACTAGGGCTTTGTTTGATGTTTGCGTTCTCATAAACTCAGTGTAATGTTCCGATGCCATGTAGTCGCCTTGCTAGCTTGAAACCCCGACAGATATCCTCGTGTATCATGCCGGTCGAGGCGCACATGTCAGCCACGTGTCGTGCTCGTAGGTATTTCACCGCCTCTACCTCGGCGGCGACGAGGCATAGGCGTCACCAATCATTTGCGGAAAGGTACTGTCGAACAGGGTCAATGGTGTTTTAAAGGACGATATGATCAAGTTGTGTTTTTTTGGCACGCCTAATCGTGGGTTCATTGGACAGGAATGCTGTGTTGACGCTTTGTCAAACACCGTAATATAAACTCACTTGGGAGCACTTGAACACACCCTAGGAGTTCCTATATTGCGCCTCCCAGCCATATAGTACCGCATACAAGCAGTTGTAATCATTTTACAGCCACATGCTCGATGTTTATTCTCCAACCATCGTAGTCCAAGACCGCTTTACCCAGTCACGTCACGTCTTGTCATCAATCGTGTAGGACCATCTCGATGGCTAGTCCGCTGCGAATGGCGGAATGTGGAGTTGACGTTTCAGTTCCCAGGTCACTTTTTTCACTCTTACTACGCTGCAAGAATGAATGGCCAGCACCTCTGCTCGACTATACCATTTTGTAAGTCACTAGTGCTGTGGAAGTTTGCACAGACATAATTACACACTAATTGTTTGCTGCAGAGTGCAGGCGACAAGCGTGCTCCACCCCCACGAGTTGGAAAAGCTGCACATCATATCGACGCAGGTGGTCAAGGAAGGTTTAGTGAGAGATCCTTTGATACCCTTGGGCCTGAAGGCCAAACATGGTTTGTTGTCGAAGGAGGTCATCGTCGTTCCGCTCCACTCCGAGTAAGTGTTATACATCGTCATTTCGTTTGGTTGCCGCCTATAGAAAGCAAGATTGCGTAACCCTGTGGGTTCGGGTTACAGGATCAACATCGCCCCGCAAGCGCATAACAGCATGATAGTTATTATTCATCCCGACGATCTGATTGCGCAACCTCGTGGAATATACCGCGCCCGGGCAATCCACTTCGATCCTAAAGGGATGGACCCAACGCACAAGCACGCGGTGCTTGCTTCGAAAGTATTCGAGTAAGATTGGTTTCGCTCCTCGACGCATTATAATTTTGGACCATCTTTAATGTCGCGGTATCCGCCCACCGCAGGTGGCTCAAGCGCCAAATCCGTCATCGAATACACAGGCGGCAGAAGCATGGGCAGCAGTCACGATCAAGCTGTTATAAAAGACATGGAAAATAACCTGTCTGAGCTGCATCTAGACGCCAAGGTAACACGTGCTGTCGCTATTGACGTGGATACGTGACATTGTTGATCAAAACTTGTGTGTTGCATATGCAGAATCCATCTGACGGAGTTTCGATGTCGTCGGTCGGATCTGGTCTGCATGTGATTTACGAGCGGCGGAAGCTATTAGAGCGGTGGGACTACATCCGCAACCTCAACTCCACATACCCGATCCGGCTGGGTCGTGGCCGGCTGTCCAAGGAGGACATCCACGAGGAGCTAGTAGCGTCGTTAGAGCCGCACTTCGTCGACGTGAAAGGGAAGAATAAGCTGGGCGACTCCCAGGGTGTGTTGGAGGGAACTGACCTATCTGTGGGAGCTAGAATCAAAATCACACGGCAAAGAGATGATCCCGTAGCTACACTCGCACCTGTGACCGGGGGACTTGTGGGGAAGGCCGGCACCCGAGACTGACAGCGTGACGTAACTAGTGACAAGCTTCCAGCGCCCCCAGCGAGTACCTGTTCGACCGACCACGGATGGAAGACTGCAGAACCAGATTACAAGTCGATGATGACCTCTCTTCCCAGCACACTGATTGACCTTGTCGCACAGGCAATGGACAAGGCTGCTAAGAATGGTGCCTTTCGACTGCAAGTGAGTGAAGATGCCCTCGCGAAGCTCGAAGAGGCGTCGAGAACATGCATTGTTGAAGGTATGGGTGGTTTAAGGGCGGAGGTGCAGTCTAGTTTCAAAACTATCAGGACAGATCTACTCAGCTTAGTAACGGAGAGACTAGGTGCGGCCGTCAATGTTTTTCCTGCAGACGGGACTTGTCCATCGACACCGAATGCAGCCGTACACCTAGCGGCGTCAGGGGTAAAGTTCAATTGTCATGACTATTTTCCCGTCGGGGAATGCGTCCGCAATAAAAGGGGGCAAGGGTCTGTCAATATCGACGGTGTCGACGAGGCGGACCACCCTTCGGAGACCGTGGGGAAACAGCTCGAGGTGTTCCATACAGAGAGCGAACCAGAACGCTCTGATGACAAAAAGCGTAAGCGGTTTTTCCCGGAACACGGCAAGAACGAAGGTGGCGTGGATGGTAGCAAGCATGGCATGGGGCAACTGTCGATGGAAAGGGTTCCTGATCGGCGTACATGCAAACCACCTGTTAGTGGGTCACATACGCTCGCCGACGTTCAGTCGACTGTCCCTACATTTGCGGGAATCATCGATCTTTTGTACCAGTATAGCGACGATGAAGCAGACACCGAGGAAGACCGTCCGATCAGTACGATGAAGGAGGTGGTTGGGACGATACATCCTCTCAAATTTTCGGGGACGGTTGTGAAAATGGAAGGCTCACGTGTGGAAGCCCAAGATCACTCGAATGTGACACAAGACCAGTTCGGAAAAAAGAAAGGTGTTAAGCGCACGTTCGCCTTCAGCGGGTTTCTTGTGAAGCAGAAGGGGACAGGCGCGGAACAGTTCTTGTCGGAGCAGACTGTCGGGGGACGAAAGCGACACATGGGTTGTTACAAGGAAAAGTGGAGGCGGGATTTCACCTCCGCTGTATGTTGGAGTGTATATTTTCCGGATGTCGACCTGCAGTGCTACGGGATGGAAACATCTGACGTCGACAAGTGGAAGGCGGAGCTGGATTTCGCAAAGCGTCTGCCCACGGGAGTTTGGAGTGTCATGAACGAGCTGACACTGGACCAATTCGACGAGTACGTATTTTGCGTTTCCTTACTCGATAAGACGTGACCTACTAACACCGACTATAATCTCTTGTGCAGGTATCGAATGGTGCTTTCGAAAACGAACGAGTGTCTTTCAAATGGTGTGTCGTGGGAGAGAGCAGTATGCAGTGGGGTCGCATTTGCTGCGATTATGGCTGGGCGCGTAGCAACCCCTAAGGATGTCACCACGGAGATTCTCACAGCTGGGTTGGCAGCTTCCATATACGTGCTTTGGATGGCATCCATCGGGGTGCCTCCAGATGCTCTGCAGAAGGAGGCTATGGTAGTGGCCAACGATACGATCCCTGTCGAATCGGAGGCAAGCATACCGAAGGCTCTCACGAGTGTGGTCAATGAGTCACACGAGAAGGCGGCATGGATTCCCGTTCTCGCGGAGAAAATCAGAAGTATGCAGGCTGACAGCGCCCACACGACGGCTTTGCCAATCTCCAGACTTGCGGCTCGAGTACTGGTTTATTGGTGCCAGTGCAACGTATCGACAATTGGTCTTCAGAAGTATGTGAACCATTCTCTGCACTTTCCCTAAATTTTGAAGCCAGGTGTGCAGCCACTCGTAGATAGTTCACTAGCTAGGATGCCTAAGTTTTGACGTCAAATAGCCAGCCACGTCATCTCAGACATTCTCACTAATCGGAAACGTCAGAGTCGTCATCTGGAGTGAATACCCCGCTAGACTCGGCGGCATCACCAAGCCGCGTTGCATAACAAACTTGGTACACCTCACCCGAAAGTAGTCCGTTGATGAATCGCGATATGGTCTCACGCATGACGTCAAAATCACTGGGCGGGGTTAATGGATACAATTCATTCATATCGCGTCGAGCAAAAACCCGTCCATGTCAGCCAGCAGGTCTTGCAGAAAACGCACACACCAAACCCCTGCGAGGGGCTCTTTCAAGTCCTCTTTGAGAAGATCGTCGTTGAAGTCTGTGTTGCGCAGATTCGTCAAGCGGGCTTCAACGATCTCACTAGAAAGCGGATTCTGATTTGCCCGTAGGTCACGGAGCATCTGTTTCTCGAACCATCTGCAGCAACGGGATGGTGGATCTACGTAAATCGGCAAAAATCAACACGCGAAGAGCCGAGCACCGAACGGCACGCCTCTGTCAGAATATTATGCTCTAGCCTGTAGTGGGGTGCTCTGTAGCGAGTACAACTCTTCTAGGGTTTGCTATTTGTATCCCCATTCTTGCTAGTGCAACCCCTCTCTTTCGCCTAAACTCTCTTGCCTAGCTAGGACTCTCCTAGCTATGGCTCCTAAGACTACCGCTTATCTCAACAGCCTCACCTTTTCATCCAACCCGACATGCAGCCAAATCCAGACCAGCCTGCGTTGTTGCCTCTGCGTTTGGGGTCAAGGAAGAAGCTGCGAGATCGCGTTACTGAGCCCTGTGGAAGGGCGAAATCGCCCGGATGAGTAACGACGAACAACGCACACCCCGGCCTTTCGAACCCGAATCACCAGCTGCAGTGTGCATTGTAAGGCTTGTCAGGTTTGGAGGTCAATTTGCGTGTTAAACGTAATCACAGATACACATTCCAGATTGGGACC